TATGTTATGATAATTATGCTAAATATATTATTCAATAAATTTTGTTAATCAAACTATATATATTTCTGATCACAAAAAAAAATAAAGTACCATAAATATTCATAAAGAACACTAAATGTATCACGTAAAATATATTTTATACCTCAACTCATATTTTGAATAAATTATAAAACGCTGCGTCGTTTTTATCTGGTCGATGTCAGGTTAAAAGTTTTTTATGGTAAGTCACGCGTCCCTATAACGAACACAAAGAACTAAAAACGGTAGGTCAAGAGCTGGTTTCCCGGAGGTGTGTCCTCGACAATAGACCTTAGTTTTAATTAATAAGTGCCAGAGGGTAGTGCTGTGAACGGAAATAGCACGGGCAATTAAATCTCGACTTTTGGTGTGAAAATTTCGTTGTCCCAAAATAGTATTCTTGTTCTTCTTATAAGTATACCCATCCTTTTGAACTGTTAGATGTAATTAAGTAGTTGGAGTTCGTATCTAGTATAATTAAATTTTAATATGAAACATAATTAAACATTTTACAATACAGTCAAAAATGAAGAATTCAAGCGCCTATAAATAAACTTGTATTATTATTAAATTAAAGTTTTCGTTCATTTTAATATAAACCATTGAAAAAACACTTCCAATTAGTGTAAAACAACTCTATTCTTTGATTTCCACGTCCCGTCTATGAGAGCTTTTGTGGTGCTTTCCGCTTAGTCAGAGGAGCGCGCGCGCACGGGACGCGCGTGTGGAGCGCGACTTTATCACGTGGTATTAATAAGTCGCGAGTGTTTCTGGGTGTTAGTTAAAACTATAATGTTATGCAATGTTGAGTGTAATTAGTTAACCAATTAATATTACTTATGTAGTAAAAAATATGTAAACAAAAACACATTCGAACCTAAAATTTAAAATATAAACATAATTTTTGATGAAATATATATGTAGGTTTATTTATTTATTGTTATGCACAATTGACTGCAATATTAATATACTCGTATTTTATATAATGACAGATTTTTTTATTAATATAACAACGGTGGTCAGGATTAAGTTTACAATTATTGCTCTTTATATTACACACATAAAATGCGAATAATAAATTGTATGAAGGAGATAATTTTAATAAGTATTTTAGGTAGATATAAAAAATTATATAAAACACAATACGCTCAATCAAATGTTGATAATGGTCTTTAAAATAAATTACAAACAGTAGATCGTGAGTGCGTTCGGACGATTTATTGTAACGACTTTAAAGGATCTTCTCTTTGTAAATACGATTCCATAACGTTTATTTTGTTTTACACCGATGTACTACGTCCATACAAAACTTTATTTTTTAAATCCGGTCCCAATTTAATTTCACGGCTCTTGTTGTTATACTTGTAGTATACTTTTTAAGTTTAGATTGTTCAAGCACTTTGACCGTAATATGGAGAATTAAATATAAATAAATCAAATTAATAGGTCATAATAAAATCAATATTTATGAATGTAAATTAGAAAAAGTATACGTCTATTTCTACATAACTAGTTTTAGATCATAGTTTATTTATGATAAAAACCACGGTATGAGTAAATAAATATGTATAAATTATTTATTTACAATACAAAACCCATTCGATCGACACATGAATGTATCCACCGATCATTTACCTACATTTAGACTATTTATAAGAGTCGACGGAAATGCCCCTACATCCATGAGCCGATATAAATCTCTTCACCAAAGCGTTTCGAAATTAGTATCATTTAGCTGAATTAACGATTCTGTTATTTTAAATACAAACCTCTCAAAATAATATAAATATTATTGATATATAACATTCTTGGATTAATAAACCATTTCTTTTTAATCATATGGGTGATACCATAGTAATTTTGTTTCAGTACGTGTTATAAAATGTCATCCGACAATTATAGTAAGTTAACAAGAAGGATAATTCACGATTTAACAGCTCTCGCCCACGTAACAAGTAACATCTGTGTCCCACATACCATGCACATATATCATAAAGACCGAACTTTGATTGATACCTTTATTGTAATAGTCAAATAATATTACCGAACATTTTAATATTATAATATCAATTCAATCCCAATGAAGACTATTAGACTGTGTTATGAAACAATCTATGGGAAAATCATTAAAATTGAGAAGATTTAAAAATAATAGTCAATTTATAATCATCAAATGCGAAAGTTTCTAGCTAAAACATTGAGAGAGAAGTCCTAGTTGTACATTAAAATAATAATCCGGCATTACAAAAATAGTAATTCGTATTGTTGAAAATCATAACCGACATATGTATAAATTATAGAGATCTGTTTGCTCCACAAAGACGAATGATTAATTTATCGGATTCGGTCTTTGCTGTTCTTTATATAGTCTCAACCGTTACGAAACATGTATGCTAATGAATAATAAACAAAGCGTCTTCTATTTTACAATTAGATCTTTACAACGAACGGCTAGAAAATAAACGATGATTATTTTTCGATTCACTTTTTTGCTACAAATGTAATAACTTCGTACATATACAGAACTGTTTTGAAAATTTATTTGAGAAATTATAGACATACGTTCATTTTAGTAGCATTTAGGTATTTTCTGGATTATGTATTTAAATGTATCGTGGTAAGCGCGAGTTTTCTTTCAAAAATCGTGAGGATTTTTAATTTTATCGACGATTTATCAATGAAAAACATTGGAATGGTCAGTGTTTAGTTAACAATGCAAAAATTCGTACTAATGGCATTAGATAACTGTCACATAAATCCTTTTACGCTCGTTTTGCACTATCGTTATTATCTGAACGCTTTTAGGCACGCTTTGTTTAATTTGTGCTGTTAGTTTGTTCAAGTATCCAGCCACAGTAGAAAACTTGTCAAAATATAATGGTTTTTTATTGTAATTAACGTTAGCCGACATTTCGATCATAATTATTGTATTAAATGTTTACATATGTTTTTGAACTTAGAATATAATTCTTCGAAGTTAAAAATATGTTGTTTGAATAGATTCCAAGTGGTTTCGTTAATCTTTTTTATTCACATATAAAACTTCTTTCAAGCTGTTATAAAAAGTGCCGCAGAGCCTTATTAGTGGAATCGCGTATTCGGACCCTAAATAGTTTTATGATTGTCACAAGTTCGTTGCTCCGGCGCACCTTCCGCTGTTATAAATACACCGTGTTGAAGTTTTGACACACAAACACTGTGTGCTTGGGCGTGTACGGTGTAACACAACTTTACGATAGCCATTATGCCATTTTAGACGTAATATTGAATAAGCCACTTAAATTACATTGACACAATTCACACATTTCAAAAATACAACTTCATTCAAAATAAATCCCAATTAAAAAGGTATTTAAAGGCAAGTTTTTGCCTGCATATATTATACATAAACTTTCTTTACAAAATTTGTTCGTTGTATAATATGCACCTGTATAAATATATGTATGTAGCTATCTCAAAATATGATTTATGTTCACAAAACAAAAACAGACAATGTTGTCACTTCTATGATGACTGTTTTAAAACGTCTCAAGCAAAGTTCAAAGAGGTGTTAGAAACGTGCGGCCTCTTTATTTCTTCCTCTGAGATTTTCTTTTTATAGAGACCATTTTCAACCAGTAACATTATACACGTGAAGATGAACTGCACGGACCACGGGGTATAAATAAAAGACAGGAAACTATGAAAGAGTCTGTAGTTATGTTTGTACAATTTTTCTTTGGTCTACGTGAGACGCGTCGTTTCATTTTTGTTCTCATTCATAGAATAAATAATATCGGAAAATTTTTTTTTCTTTCGAAACGTTTACAAATACATTAAGAATCTAAATAAAAAGAAATAAATTTGTTCTGTAGACACTAACTTCATAAAAACACTCAAATTTAAACCAATTTGCGATAATCAAACATTTTTTTCAACACATTTAACTAAATCAAAATGACAAAAAAAAATTAATAAAGGAAAATCAAAACAAACGTTTATAGAAATTCTATGACGTTTAAAAGTACATCCAATACCATTGTATTATACTGCCGGTAAGACACTTTAACCTCGTGACGAAGCAACTATAAACATAAAATTACCTTCCCTCCCACTAAACGGTACTCCGTCATTGTTTCAAGCTAGTATCTAGTATTTCATAACGATGTAATCGTTGTTGCGGCGCCTACACGAAAATTATGCATATTTAATTAAACAAGATGTACATGCTGTTATTTCAGTGTGATTGTTAAGCTAATTTGCGCTTCGGTAATCGATCCATGTACGCCCATTTAATTTCTCAACAATAAACTTTGCGTAAGTAATCGCTAACGATTACAAATATATTTACAAGTCGATGAGAAACATCACAAATCACTATTATCATACAAATTTTATCTGATTATCAAACTGATGTGTTTAAACAATGGGTAAGTTGACGCAACCACGCAAAATTCATGGGAGGTTTATTCTAATCTTCCCGCACGAATCGTCTCGAATGTAGGCGTAGGCGCCAACCGTCAGAGTAAATATTCCGAGAAGACTATCGTACGTTACCATTCATTCATGTACCGTGACGCACGCTGAAATACACTTAAACTAATTCAATTCAATATATTTGTATACACATATATAATAATAATGTTCATGCTTTAAGACTCATTTTCCTCACATGAGCCATGATCTTTTATAAGGAAAAGAGATAATAAGTATTTGTGTATACTTCAATGTATTATTTATAAATATTGATTCATGGAAAATTTTGGAAGAAGTATAGTTTTCCATGTTTTAGCAACTAATTTAATAATGCTAAAAAAAGAACCCCAAATTTGTCGTATTTGTAAAAAAGTATAAAGTAAATCTTAAATAAACATATAAAGTTTAATAAGTAAGCATTGTTCTGATTTCCTGGAACAGTGCCTATGTTGCTCAGAACCTTAAGTAAGCGCAACAAAAGGTTGCTTTATTATGACTCATAGTGGTGAAGATGTGTTAGTGAGAAAATGATACCGACTTGCATCAGAGCCCCTCGGTCCATTCAGGGCTCCACTGATGACGTCACACGACAGACGAGGTCCATTGTTCAGGTAATCTTCAAAAGTTTGGTGTGAATGCAGTACTTTTGACCCTACTTCAATTGGTTTAATTTCAACAAACCGTTATATTACAAAGTAACCTGACATTTATATGAGGTGGTTATAAATATTATAAGTCATTGCATTAATAACAAATCGCCATATAAGAAGCCTCTTTCGTGATAATTAATCATTATTGTGATATTAAATTTAACTCATATTTCATTAATAACGCTACGTTGGTAAGCTTTCATGAAGCCTTGGATTTCAAACTAATAATGACTGACATATTACTCATAAACTTGGATTCTTTCCAAAAACATTCATAGCATTTTAAACATAATCAAATATATGTTTAGATTATAGCTTTTAATAGATTAAACAAATTAGTGTTTAAGTTAATTTAGAAATGAGGATAAATTAAAATAATGGTATCTGTATCAAAAGGGTTGTATTGTAAGGTAATCTTACACTGAAGCAGTAAATGTTGAAACCATTGAAATGGGGAAGCTAGTCACATTTTCTGTCCCACACTGTGGGCATTATTGGAAATCTAGAAAATAGTGGGTAATATAGGCGAGCGGTATATTAAAAGCTTGCGACCTCATTTCTGTTCCGGTTGCATTGGTTCGGTTTTAAATATATCTGAATGATGTAGTCAACTAATATATATATATATACATATATATATATATATATATATTTACATATACAATAGCTGATATTTTCAGCTGTAACTGTCAGTTAAATATTGTATTGTGATACTAATTGTTGTCCACATATATTTAATACTGAGTATATCAACCTTGATAGGATATTTTAAAGACTTATTTTATTGTCCTTACAGAAAATAAATGATAAACAGAAATGTCAAAGCTATAATCATAAATTATTAAACAAATAACCTCTTAATTTTGTATTTCATGTTTTATTATGTTCAAGACTTGTAGACATTTATTACACTCATACATTTGAAATATCGTCGCGGTTGTATTGAATTTCCTTTTTTAGATATATCTTACACCCCAACTATTCAGACGAGGAATCTGTGTGTCTTACAATAAAAATGTCAAAAATTGCTGCCATTACTTATGCACCGGAAGGAAACGAGAAGTGTTAATCTCTCAACGCCGACACTATATCCCCTGTAACACAATAAATAACTGTAAAACGCTGTGGTAGACCAAAAGACAGTTCCAATTAAAATTCCCTCTGTTATCATAGATGACGATAAATCAAGGCCCGATATAATTTATTTCTTTATAAGGCCTGTAAAATCCCTTCAATTAAACCATTAACGAACATGTTAATAAAAGTGGAAATGATTAATCTTCTGCTGGCTCGAGTTAACTTCAAACCCTATGGCGGAATTCTGGCTACCGGTCAATAAAACAAAATTTTTGGTTTCCGTACATTCTCATTCATTCTGAACGTAATAAATGATGCGATATTAATCATTTTCCAGTTCAATCGGAACAGCACTGATCCGATTAATGAAGTGATGGTCCATTACGTAGTACATTACTGATATCAAAACTCTAAATCACTCATCTGCCATTTTGCGAACACCAGCTTGAAATAAGGATTATAATACAATACCATACAAAATTTAACTAAATACTGAAGTGTATATCTAACTAATACAATGTTAAAACTACTTTTGAAGTCCCTAAAATAGACGTTAATTTATTCCTTTAAGTATTTTTAAGGGTCTTAGAGTTTTTTATTGGTATTATTTAATTTATTTATTAAGTGTTTTATAGGAACATTTAATCCTTTTATACAATTGTTAATATGACTAAATCGATGTGAGGTCAGAGAACCAAATATGAAACAACTTCATTGGCTGTTAACATCGCAGTTTGGCTAGATTGGCCCAATTGTTGAATAAATTCTGTAATTGCATTTAAATTTGTCTATCATGCCTAAGTGGTTTATAATGACCTGGTATTATTATTAATAGACTACGTTACGATTTACAGACTGTAGTTAGTGCCTTAATTATATGACTGTAAATATATATAATGTCAAATTATGTCCAACATCATACTAATCCCGTAGGTAGATTACAGCCAGCCATCTGTTATGATTTATCTCCTCAAAAACCCCCTACGTAAATAAATAGACATTATCGAAATCGTCGATGCAAAATTATGTTATTATTATATTTTATTGAGTACTTATTTATTACATTTTCAAGTAAGAAATAAAGTAATAAAAATGTATACAAAAAACAATTTAAACAATATATTAATTCGCCCCTGACTTTTACATTTGAACATTTTGATGCTTGTGAAAATTTTATTGGTTGGAAATATTAAATATTACATGATTTTAAAATTGGAAACCTTATTCCATTGTAATATGCTTTAAATTTTCCTAAACATTAAAGTTTACACAACAGTCTCGGCTCGGGAATACACGAATGGTGAATGAAAGGCTGTATGTTTACTTAAGCGTCGCATTTCAGGGCCTACCGAGTTTACAGACAATTAAATTGTTTACAAAAACATGTACGTATACATGATGTGATCGCGTTTAATATAGAAAAACGTAATAGTTAGTGGTTGTACTGGTTATGAAAACTTTTGTCTTGGTATATAATAAAAAATATTTATTTAATTGTACGTTCTTGCAGGGTTGAAGTGGGCATCTTTAGATAGTCCCGTGTATAAGAATTTTGTATTACACATGTTACTGTTTATATTGCAGATCTGACGACGAATCATTCTCAGCCGTAATTAATATCTAAGACTATAATAATAGTTACATATAAATGCATACATACTGATTGCTAAATAGACTCTACATATTAAAATTTATTATTCACTTAAAGGGTCTTCTAGCTGGCTCAGTTGTTTAAAAGCCTTTATCATTAAAACAAAGCTAAGTATAATGCACCAGGCGTCTAGACCTCATCCAGCCATCAAATTTATGATTATATTATGAAATTAACGTTAAATATTTACAAGCGTCACATAAAAAGAAATATGGACTAAATGCTTGAGCCTAAAATTAAAATAGAATCCACCTTTTCCACCTATACGAGGATATTATTATTTATTATCTATTATTTACATAAACGTTCACTCTCACTGCTGAATATAAAAATGTCGTTTGAGAATATTTATGGCCGTCAAAAGATATTCCCGGTTTGAATAAACAAATATAACGATAAAGATATCACTTAGTTTTGAACTTCTCATAATATTCATTTTGAAAATATTATATCAAAGGTTTGCACAAAATAGTTTATCGGTTATTTTTACTGACTTTATAAAAGTTTGTATGCAATATAATAGTTTAATTGAAATACCGTTAGAAGAATGAATTCTTTAATAATAAAATCGACTACAAGCAATAGTAACAAATAAAACCAACTATCATATGTACATATATATTTTTTGGAGATTAAAACTTTCAGATCTCATTTAGGAGAAACAGATCCTTTATGAGATTATTTAGATACTTTGTGTCCATCAGTCGGGAACTTTTATCTCATGAACAAAGATATGTGGTTCAAATAAAGAAATAAAAGTATCTCTTTGTACGAGATGGTCTTTTTGTTGAAGCAAAATTTCATTTATAGAATAATTACAATAGAAACTCTACCGGTAAATAAGTTTTTCGGTAAGAAAAACCCTTAGCTACCAAATCAATTTTCCATTTATTGAGTACTTTTGTCCTGTAGTCCATTTGATTTCTGCAGAAGTTCGTTGATATAAATTGGATATTTATTCATTTGGTTTTGCAAAAGATTTTATAGATTTAATGAATAGAGTACTTGTAACTTATTGGCTTATGAACTTCAAAACATTTATTATCACAAAAAAAAATATATCTTAAAGCAATATTAACTGTGGAGAAAGTTAATTATTAAAAATATATGTTTGCTTGATAAATAGGAAAAGTGTGATATATAGAGAGGAAAGTAGTCAGGCGGGGATTTTAACCACCCTTATGTAGTTGAAACGGATGTTCTGATAACATCGATTGATTTAGAATTAGATGGACGCTATTAAGGGAACAATTTTATTGTACTAATATACTAAATAATTAAGTAACGAAAAAGCAAGGATATAATGTATATCTTGGAATTTATGTACTGAAATGCCTTCCTCGTATTGAATTAACTAGATAATATATTGGTAAATGTAAGAAAAATTCAAGTTCTGTCAATGAAGTCTTTCAATTCTGTTAAAGTATAAATCGATTCGAATATAAAATTTCAAATCCCATTAGTGCCAGCATCTTCATATACGAGAGCAAAATTATTAGCAACCACAATCAAATTATGAATCATGCTATTAATACTAGTGTCTACGTAAATTAAATCGTGTATAAATTTCCTTAAGAAACTTAGTTTGCGTTATTGGCATGGTATTATAACGCTACTGTCTATTATTATAATGAGAAATATTGTTAGACAGTTGCAGAGTCTTAAGAAAATTAACTAGATTCTAGAATAATGGAATATTTTGATAAATTTATTTTAAGTTTTGAAAGTCTTACAGCATTTTTTATATTATTAGTATACTTTTGTATTACTGAATACTTGTACGTAAATGGCTCGACCTAATACTTTTTTCTTTTATATCACACGAGAGTTGTAGATTGTAAAGAAATGTTTTTGAAAAGTAACAATAGCTTGTACTTCGAACGATTTAACGCCACTGAACTAAAAGTAATTAATAAAAGCTATTCTTAAATTAAAGAAAAAAGTATGCACAGTCTTTGATATAAAGTGAAGATATATTTATATATAATATTAATACTCAAACGTATTTGTAAGACATAAACCATTAAATGTTAATACAAATTAACCGTCATAAAGATTGGGATGTCAATTAACGAGTGAGATGAGTGAATTGCTTCACACTGAGGTCTGAGCTATGTACCGGCGTCGTACTGGCGCGACTCCACCACTTGTCCCCATTCTCCTGCAAATTGACGCGAATATGAGTTAATCCATTTGAGAATATACTACATCACACTCGTTTACGGATGACTTCACGCCAAGAAACACATTATCGATCTCAAAGCGCTATGAATGAACTAAGTGCCCACGCTCCCGATAAAATCATAAAATAAAAATCTTACATTTCTCGCTCATGATTCAGCTTTTTCAAACAATGGAATATTGAATAAGGAACGTTTATCTTGGATTTCTCTTTTTCTATAAAATTCTCGGACATATTTACATGAAACGTCGTTAAACTTTAAGTAGCAATTTCACATCTTACGAGCATCGTCTTATCTACCGCTCTTTGTGCGTCAAGATATCTTGCGAAGTACTTTCAGTACCTACTTGCCGGCTTAGTCAGACTACTGTCTGGTTCTAATGATAATGCCGTCTATATAGACCCTGTTGCAATAATGTTGGCCTGAGAGTCCTATAGTGACATAGGTACCATAGTGCGAGTAAAATTCGACAACACCTCGATTGCTAATTGTATTTATTTTGGTAATTTGTTCCAGATTTACACTGATTGGGCCAATCACTATCTGGAACGAGCCAGATCACGGCGTAGAGTGGGCACTTCTGGAGGAGGCCTAGCTAGAGACTGCGCTGATGGTCTACTTCTGGCCGATGTTTTAGAAGGAGTAACAGGTCTCAAGGTCCCACGTGCTCATCGAAAGCCAAGAAATCCACAACAAATGGTAGGTTTCATTATTTAAATTTATAGTGTGGTCGTGATTATGAATCATGTGTAAAAGACATTAGAGACAATTTTCGTGTGGTATGTAAGCTTTATAATGCATTACTGGGAAAGCGATTAGGAAAATCACATTTAAGTCTAGAAGATATCGAGTGAAAAGAGATGGTATTAATTTACTTTCAGTATGTGGTAGCATCGAAACCTATTTTCCACCTCTAAGTATAATTTATAAAATGGCAGATAAGAAGTGGTAATTAAATGTTAAATACTTACAATAATATAATTTTTTTATCACTGATATATCTTTTACAAAAAGACCGTGTTTATTCATGAGCGTAAAGTTTTTTATAACATTAACTTTCATAAGGTTGTTTCAAAAACATATTTATGTGTACAAAATATGCACACAAAAACAATGCAAGATTAGGTCTGGCTTTCATAAATATAATTTTAAATATTACTTCTGTGTTATCGCATTTCCCACTCTAATCGCAGTTGAACGGAACGTTTACCCTAATCTAAATGACTTCAACTTTCAAAACATAAAATTACCGAACGAAGCCGTAGTACTGGAGTGGTATTTTAAATGTCTACAAAATTTTACGATATCATTAGTCGTTTACAAGATAGCCAAAAGAAAATATGAATCCAAACCTTATTTCATAATAAAACTTATTGGTTAAACATTTTTAAATAAATTATTAAATTTTATTTCAATTCTTATTTTTTTCGCGTATAATTTATAAATTATCGTTTTTCTAGACAACTTTAGATGTGTTTGGATTTTATTTTTTCTGATAAATGTACAAAAATTCATTCAAATTACCTATTTTCTCTAAATCCTATATACCACAGTAATATTCTACTAGTCAACATCCTCAATTATCCGATTAATTTGTTTATTAAATCAAACTTGTATGAAAACGACGTTGAATTTTTTTTAGCTTAAAATAGCTGTAGGATCATCACAAATCATTTGGGCAGGTACATGGTACTATCTTCTCGGTATGAGTATACGTTCAGCAGCACAACCGTAAACACTACAGATATGATCTTTATTCCAAATACAGCCTTTTGCTTAATATATAAAGATGATAATCGCTTATTATTATTGATCAGTCCTATTTAATATCTGTGGCGCATGGATACGTTTATGGGATAGGTAGCCCACAAACCCGAATCCTGTTGTGTACCGCATTGCTTCCGGCACGCGTTGTATTTGAGAAAGTGCTGATAAGATTTATTGACTCTTTAAACATTGGCCGTTGATAATACGCTTCATGGCTAGTTGTCATTTATAAAGTATTATTGTCATTTATTACTATTTACAAGGTCATGTTTTGGAATGTATGTTTATTGTATGTTTGTAAGTGCATTTGTATTATTGGAATGTTATACCTCAACTTTAAATGAAATATTTTTATTCAATTGAACTGAATTTCGGGTATATGCTCAATCTGGTTTTGAATTAATGGCAGGCAATGTGTGGTTATGTTAGAGCAGTGATGTTGTAAGAGTTCTAATATAGAGGAAAACTAAACATTAAGCAGGTCAAGAATGGTAAAATAAAAAATTCTCAGTATGTAAATGCCATCGTTTAGTAAAATCAATTTCGGTTTGATTAAGCAGAAAATGTTTAAACCACTGATTTGTACTAAAGTTAGTTCAAAGTTCAACGAGCCCTTTACAAGAAGCCGCTGGTTAAGTGCGCTACATTTGTAATTCTATCTACCTGCGGTAGAAGCACTGCCACAATACGACCACATCCGCAAAGAACCTGGTGTAGTGCTTGAATGGTTTAATAAAAAGAACAAAACTTCATGTGCTAACTTGAGCGTAGTCTTCAACAGGTACTAAGACTTTAGAATCCTAGAACAAGCTTGATGATTTTGCACCAATACGAATACCTTGTTTTAGTAAATTTTATATATTAAAAAAACTCTTCAAATTTTTTATTTATATTTATTTCAGTAAATGTCATCATATAAATAACATATGTCCAAACCATTTGTTGACTCTATAGCGATGTTTTAAATGTTTACATTTAGTTTATTTACATGATTTATCCAATTTAATCACGTTAGTAAAATTACGTTTTGTTCTCAACTTTATTTTTGTTGTTAACAACGAGGTAGTGTAGTTGTTAATTTACAAGGTAATATTCCATGCATTTGACGTAGAAGCTATTAGAACCGCTCCCATAACATATTTAACCATAACACCATGAGAACAAGAATAAGTCGTTAAGTTAACGATAAGTTGAATGGTTTTAAAGCTTTCAACTTTCATAAGTTCACATTCTTACTGGGTTACACCAACAAAGTATCGATTGCTGTATCATAAATTACTTATTTATATAATTGTGTTGAGTTGAATATATATAAAGGTTGTTTTGTGTTATGGTTATTAAGATCTTATCGTGGAATTTGGTTTTAGCATGTTTTATGGTACATTAGCGCCGTTACATCTCGATATATACCTCAAGGTGTTCATTGTCTTTTGTTAGAAATTCAGCAATCAAGCGATTTTTGAAATCGAATTTTCATATTTTATTTAAAATAACACTATTAAATCCTGTATTACGAATATGTTGGTTCTAGCATAGTTTATCAAATAAAATAAAAAGAATAATCGATTGCGGTTATAGCGGATAAGAAAATAAATTCTTTTTTTAATATAAAAGTGACAATTTTTCATGTTATAATATTTGTGACATTCATTTGAAAGTTCGATACGTAATTATTTGAATTTGTTGTTACTTGACAGGTGTTATAAATGTTTGTTTATGTAAATGGAAAATATTAGTTCATAAAAGTAGGCTGTAGTTTGAATTCAGAAATTAATATTTTTTTTTATTCTACGTACTAAGATAATATTAGCAAAAGGGAAGAAGATTAAAAGAGATTGTGACGGAAAAAGTTTATCTTAAATAGGCTTGCAATAAATGAACCTATTTTATAATTTATCAATAATATTATTTATTTTTTAACTTGATTTTGACCACCGTAGGATTTTCTAAATTATTTGTTTAGCTGTTAAAAAGACTATACGATTTTATGTCGCGCTTTTTGCAACTTTGGTTTGATTTAATAACAGTTCAACTAACAGTTTTTTCAATAACTCTTTTTTATAAGTTTAGTCTTAACACAAATTTTTTTATAAAAAGTTGCTTACAATCTCAGAACATTATAATTAATTTCAAACACCTTGTGTACAAAAGACTCAACATGAATCCAGAGGCACATAATAAAATGCAATAGAAGAAGGCTATAAGAAACCTTGTTTTATTAATAGCTTTTGATTTTCCATATAAAAATATCATCATTGTGTCCTTAATTAAGTTCAAATATAACTTAGCAATAAAAAACAAATTTCAACAAGTTTTTTTTGCACTTCCACCTCCATCGTTAATGTTTGTCTGACAGTCTGCGTATCGTTCAGTCTCGGACGTAATGATTTATTACATCTGTACTGCCTTCGGATTGAACTAGATAGTATGTTATTAATCTATGATTAACCCACTTTGTGATACTGACATTATTAATGTATTGTTACTTTGCTTTCATGACAAACAACTGTTTCCTCGCTTACTGCTTTACGCATAGATATGTTCAAATGTGCATATTCATAGAAATAATATACTTAATCAAAAAATTACTTTCTTTTAAGTCTTCTATCCTATTTAACTCTGTTAATTCTTGAAAGGATACTTCTTTATTGGTTTCATAACATACTTTACAATTTTAATTAACTTGCCCAATGACTTATTAAACTGTCTCTGCGTTAGTCAGTGGTGGTTAAAGTTTTTTCATGTTTTTTTTTAATCTTCATTAAGGTATCATTAATTAAATCAGAGTATTTTAATTTCAATATATATTTTTAATATATTCTAGATACATCTCGTTCTTAATTATTATCTTCAGATTCCAACAATTTTTATAAGCTTTTTTAACATACACTGTTAACTGTAAGAAGAGGATAAAATTTTATACATATTTTTAATGGATATTAACAACGCAGTTACTTTTGAAGAACTATATTGGATCATAAAAAGTTTTTGTCCCAATCTCAATCTTTTTATTAGGAATTATGAAATAATGATTTGAAATTATAAAAAATAATTTACTGATCCATAACCTGTTTGGAGTTTTTAAATTAGTTCGTTTTATTTTCTTGTATAAACTTCCTTATGACGATAAATCATACAGTCAATTAAATATACCATGTATCTTCGCGTATTCTTGATTTTTTGTAGGTATTGTTAAAAGATCCTGTTTTTTAGAGATTGATAAAATAATTTGATCGTTTTATTCGAACGAAATTAAATTCTTACGAAACATATTATCTTTGATATTCTTGTTATATCTACTATATCGATGTATAATGGATAGCTTAAAACTCAAATATGTAGCATACTATACTTGAACAAGTTATAAATTATAAAAACATATTTTTGAATTGAGAACCTACACCGTGTTTAGAAGTCATTTAAGATACACTAGTTTATAAAAATACATCTTTAGAACATGTGCTAAATATTGTCATAAAATTAATTTAAAAAATAATTCACATAATTTTATAAAAAGGATAGCCAATAAAGATAATATTAATGTCATACAGTTAAAACCTCATTGGAGTGATAAAAATTATAAAGTTTTAATTCATTCTTTATTAGTGCTAATTGAACGATTACACGACCACAGCCTTTGCTGTGATGATTGTTTAATCAACTCAGTCAAAATCTCGACTAGTCAACTCTGAAGTCAACCCATTCGCGCGTCCGCCTCGCTCGGCCGCGGTTGTGCAGCCGATTATATTAAAACGATTATTATGTTCCGGTTAATCGATGTTAGTTTTTCGATCAATCGTCTCAATTGTCACGTCGCTTTTTGAATTTAACGGTTGGTATCAAGTTTATGGATGCTTATATGTAAATCAGTGATACTTTTGGTGTTTGATTTTTGTGAAAAGGATAATACCAACGGCATAGAGGTCAGTAGAAGCCTTTTATCATTTGACTTTAAGAGATTGTTTGTTAGAATTAAGTTCATATGAACATCGGTGCCGTTAATTTTAAGCACGTTCATAGTCACACTACACTCATTTGTCCTTAAAAAATATTTTCGCATAATGTTTAGTGTTTTTTATCAGGATGAAATAAATAGCAGAAATATATTTTACCCTTAAACAACAGTTCATAATTTAAATATTAATGGTGTTTATATGTAATAAATTCTAAAATATTTTAATGGGATTCTAGATAGTTTGATTATCATTCGGACAATATATTATGATCACTCACAGTTGGCACTTGTAGTGAAACTTGGGCTTAAATTTAACATAAATCATCGAGCGACTTGTGCTCAAGACTAGTAATGAGGTAAAGACAAGCTCCAGATTTATTATTGTGTGGCTGACAACCCTGGATGTTCCCATGTGAAATTATTTTATGTCTATATTTATTTTTAGTAAAGCCCGCAAAGGAGAATATTCTTCATCTTTAACAGTACATTTTAATAACAATGCCATTATCGCATTATCGGAAGTTGATGTCTCATTTTATTTCATTTAATAATTGTGTATCTTCAATATTTCCACTTTCTTATAAAAAATATACATACAGTCTAAGAATGTTGATACTTCGTAATTTGTGTTGAAGCACTTAAAAAGGTGTTAATTAGATAAAAATAAAACTTACTAAAAAGTATTTATTATTCGCTTTCTAGACAGTGTATGTTCCATTAATTAAATATATTTTAGAATTCAAAGTTCAGGGAATACAAGCGATAAGTATCAGTCGATGGAAAAAAGTGTCTTGTGCTCAGCTGTAATTAGTATGATATTATTGCAATTAGAATATTTTAATCACTTTAGTTGAATAATCAAGAAAAAGAATGCTATTAACAAATATTTAAAGTATGACATACGAAGATGTTCTTTGATCTCGTTTCGTTTTATAGTTTTAATCATTTCACTTGATTCTAAACACATCGTGGTACTTTTCACACTCCTTAATACCAGGGTGGTCTGTTTTTGATTGCGAACAAAAGCGGCGAGTAATTTCTGAGAAGTTAATTTCTCGTGTCAGTGTCATCGTGTTTTTGTTTCATTGCCTTTGAATAACATGCATCCAAAAATATGAGAAGTTCATTTGGAATAAATACTATCTATAATTTCGATGAGGATTTCAAATACATATAACTAATTAGAAAGCATTAAAATAAAAAAAATAAAAACTGAAATAAGAATATTTATATGATTGTAAAAGT